AAAACTTAATTTAGCTCGCTAATGCATCTAAAAAAATGTTCTTATAAAATATATCCATGCATAGTATAATCTTAATTTTTTTTTTTTTTTTTTTTTCAAAGCTACCACGAAATTGGATTGATTGATTTAAGTACGTCGATAGATTATGCTTTGATTACGTCGAAGCAGAAAAACTTGACTTTTATTGGTTACTCGATGGGAGCACCAGAATTACTCGTCCTTTTGTCAGAATCTCCAGAGTATAATCAAAAAGTAAAATTAGCTGTGCTTCTTGCGCCTATTGTCATTTGGAAGCACAAACTGCAGCCTATAATGAAAATGTACAACCATCTGCGCAAATTCATTCATGTGAGTAATGACCGTTTGCCAGTAGAAGTTAAGCATCATTTGAAAATGAAAAATGAATCTATTGACACCTCATACAATTACAGAAAATGGTTACGGAACAAAATTATTACGAGTGGCTGCCGCAATCTAGCTTTGCTGGTGAATTTGCTAAAAACCATTGCAAGAACAACATGTATCCTGAACTATCGCTGTGCAGCAATCTGCTGAGAATAGTAGCTGACATAACAACATTTAACACAGTAAATATAATGTTTTTAATATATTTATAATAATAGTAATTTTTTTTTTTTAACTATAAAAATTTTTCCCAGAGCGCCATTCCGACGATATTCGCACACTTTCCTGCCGGTATCTCATACCAGTCAGTGGAGCACTACTGGCAGAACATCGACACCAGAGAGTTTCAGGCGTATAATTATGGGACGCGCATCAATCAAAATCTGTACTTCAGCTCTAATCCACCGGTATACGATTTGTCTCAAGTTACGGCACCTGTAGCCTTGTTTTTTGGGCATAAGGACTTTTTTGCTACCAGCAAGGTAAGAGAATACATTTTTAAGTACAATGCGTATATAATTAAACTTGTTTTTTTCCAAAATGGCGCATTTATGTTTACAGGATGTGGAAATTTTACGCCAACGTTTGCCAAATGTTGTTCTATTCAAAGAAGTGCTGTATAAAAAATTTAATCACCTGGATTTTTTATGGTCTCAGTATGTAAAAACGTTATTGTACGACGACGTGATATCATTAGCAAATGAGTATAGAAATTAATTCTGTCAAGCTCGTGCTTTATCTTATTTCGAACTGAATCTATTCGATT